AATGGTCTCGTGATATTTTGCCCATGCTTGTCCGATGGTGCCTGGATCCCGCTGATTTGTTGGCAGGGCCGGCGAGCGGTCACGGGCCTTGCTGCGCGGAGAGGAGAACCCTGCGGAAGAGGCTTCCATGCTTTTCTTGGTGGCCCAGGACGGAGCAAAGCCTGGAACCGAGCAGTAGATACCTTCGAGTGGCTTTGGGTGTCCTAAAATGCTCACCGCAAAGCGGGTCTTTTCGAAGAACGTGACATTTACTGACGGCTGACCGTTTGCAGGAAGCCGTGCAACTGGCCGTGGCCGAAGGTGCAAGAGTAGGATCTGACAAGCCCCTGAAGAAACATGCCAGGCCAGTCCATGGGACGAGTCGTGGAGACACCAATGGCAGCAAAAGGGCTAATTTCATGGACTGTGGCTGGATCGAAATTGCATTCTTGTAAATGGTTTAGAGACATAAAGCCGGATAGTCAGTCAGGGTTTTGGTCCGGGTGATTGACCGTCGCCTCAGTTCCGGCGCCGTCGTCCATCAGTCCTGTCCTCAGGGATGCATTGGACAAAGCTGAAAAGTCGGCCAGAACTGCCATGAAGTTGTGCAAGGAGAGCGTCACTTCTTGGCACTTTGGGTTCGTCGATCGTTCTTCCCTCTCATCCATTGGAGCGGCGCTCTCTTTTTCCTTTGTAGGCAAATTCCGTTTGAACATTCAGAAGCCTCACTGTGCCAGTTGATGATGTCAATGATGTCCTCATCCGGACTAAGAGCAAAAAGGTGCATCACCCCATCAACTGCAAAGTTTTCCTCTTCAAGGTGCAAACTTCTCTTCTGCCATGAGCAAGCCGAGGCCAAGCAGCAGGGCATCACGGAGGTTTTGGGTTCATCCCTGTGCTCCCTCTCGCAGGCCAACACGTGGGCCCGTGCAAGCGCAAGATTGCATAGATGGGGTGAGAGACACTCAGATACTTTGGAGGGGTCACCCGACTTTCATCGCCAATGGCTTGAGGATCAAGTGGGACAAGCTGGCGCGAGCCAGAAACAGTTCATTACAGTCATCGCTCATACGATGCTTCTTCGTTCACACTGTCTACGGTATGTCCTGACCGAAGTCGCACGGCAGGTGCACATGCTGCGAAGCAAATACCAAGAAGCCCTCTCGGTGGCGCAAGAGGCCTCCCAGCTCTTCAAGGCAGAAGGCTACGCTCGGAACCAGGCCTGCTGCAAGGTCAACCAGTACCACTTCCAAGTCATCAGTGTAGACTTGTAGACCTAAAAGCGAGATGAACACAATGATTAGGACCTTGGACACTTTGCCCAGGCTGCGGCTTCATGACTTAATGATGCTTATATAATATTATATAATACATATTATTAATAATTATAGATATAAACTAATAGTTAATAGTTATTACTATTATTGTTATTGTTATTCTTATAGATGTTAATAGTTAATAGTTCATCCGGTCCTTGCATTGCCAGGGTTCGGCCTGCATGCTGTGTGCTGATGCCTACCGTGCCATGGAGAATTACAAGGAGTCGCAGAGAGTGGCTTTGGAGGTGCACCGGCTTCTGTTTCGCCTGAACTTCTGGACTGGTCAAGATGGGAGCCATCCCCCAAGGCTGCTGTTTGCAATCAGGTGAATTCTGTTTCTGGGCAGTGTGCTTTTGACATTGCAGGCAGTTAACTGCTTCAGGCTATGTGCATCTTGCCCAGCAATATTGTCAGATGAATGATCTTCAAGTTTTCCTACCTGTAGTGGGTGAGACCTTGAACTTCCTTCAGCACGACATTTTCTTCTGACCTCTTGATTGTCGTGGTTCAGCTGGGGGGCTTCAAGCCGAGTGGAGCAGACAACACCTTGGTGTTATATCGACGGCTCAGGATCCTCCAGATGAGAGAGGCGCAGTGTCCGGACGTGTTGAGGGAATTGGAGATGACCAAAGCGGCGCTTTTGGGAGGACTAACCCCTGTTGAGCGCTTAGCACTTAGCACCTGAAGGATAGGCGCGCTGTCTGACAGGTCTGGAGGCCGCGCAGCAGGTTCTGGATGCGCTGAAGCAGCATTTGGCCCCTGCGCCCACCAGAGCATATGCAGGCCCAGTTCATGCAGTTTGTAGGCGCAAACAGAACGGAGAAGATGCACACTTGCTGGCCAAAACCTTAAGAAGAATTCGGCGCACATTTCATGGAATGAGGGGCATTGAAGTGAGACATAGCCTTCCTTGTGATCAAACACGTTGTCCAGACTTGCCACATTTTCATTGCGAGCTTATCGCGGCCCGCTATTTCTCGATCAGCCAGCCAGCCGGCCGGCCGGCCGGCCGGCCGGCTGGCCAAGAACCACGGTCCAGCTGGCCGGGCGGCCGGCTGATCAACGACCGCGTCGGCCGGCCGGCTACTACAACAACAACAACAACAACAACTACTACTACTACTACTACTACGATGACGACAACGACGACGACGACCACGACGACGACCACCACCACGACCACCACCACGACCACGACCACGACCACGACCACGACCACAACCACGACCACGACGACCACGACCACGACCACGAGCACGACCACCACGACCACGACCACGAGGACCACGACCACGACCATGACGACCACCACGACCACGACGACCACCACGACCACCACGACCACCACGACCACGACGACCACGACCACGACCATCGACCACGACCATCGACCACGACCATCGACCACG